GAACAAACTTACCAGAAATGTCCGCACAACGGTTTCTCCTTTCGTTCCACTTCAAAACAATGTTTTATATCTGAATATATTTACGTAGGTCCTGTGAAAATTGAACATCAAGATCAATCGCCTTCAAGCATTGTCCTCCTGTCTATAGAAATTACCCAACGGCAGGATTCATAAAATGCTATATATTCAGTCAAAGAAATAGCAATTCTAAACGTTACGGTTGATTTCACGAAACTTTGGCCACGCCAATTGCGAGGTTGGTTGGGAATTTGGGACCTATGAACACGAGATCATCAAGTTGAATGGAAACCGGCCAATCAAATTCGGAAGTTTCGCATCAAATTATCGAAATTCGTTATGAATTCAAGGTGTCAACACAAAGTACGGAAAGTTAAAGGATGGGCAGTCAAGAGTTCTCAACAATATTCTAGACGGAAACGATGTTTTTGCTGTATATAAAGAGAGTTTGGAAAATACAACGGCAACGTTCTTATATCAACAATAGCATATTTACTCTAAGACAAAGGCGACTATATAATTTGCATTCTTGAGCATTCTACAGGGTGTCCCCCAAAAAAGTGACACTATAGAAATTATCCTATTGTTATAATTTGAATGCCCTAGCACCAAGTTGATCCCACAAGTGCATAAACTTCTGCTTCTGGAATTTAAAATAAAAAAGCAAACCGTTTATTAGTGTAATAGCATAGTTGCCCGGGTTTCTTTTGTTTCAACAGGGTCGATTACTAACTAATCGCCCGATGTAGCGGGCGATTAGTTCTAATCGCCCGCTAGAGCGGGCGATTAGAACTAATCGCCCGTTACCAAGGGTCACACCTTTGTCTCCCTGACGACTACGCATTAGGCAAGTGCCTCACGCACATAATCGTGCAAGGAACAGCAACAGTTAGCTCAGAGCCGTCAATAGTCTATCATCCGATCCCTGAGTTGCCGCATCATTTAAATTACGCACGTGCAGTCTCCAAATTTATACTAATATATTTAACGTTTTTGTTGTGGTACGTTAAACGATAGATTGCGCATGCGTAACCGATTAAAGCGTAAAAAGTGCGCATGTGCAACAAGCTTTTACATCCCACAAGCAATGAAGCAAATGTTTTATCTTAAATACGCTGATTCCAAGTAGGGCATGTTTGTCCATTTTTAAATGGGAGCGCAACTATGCTATTACAAACTAATAGCATGGCTTTTCGGGAGATTAGTGATTAAATGACCCCTTACCCTCGGCAGGTTTGCGGGATTCCCTCGGGCTTCGCCCTCGGGAATTCCGCAAACCTGCCTCGGGTTACTGGGCTATTTAATCACTAATCTCCCTCAAGCCATGCTATTACTTATAATAATCGTTTTGCTTGACTCGGGCGTTAAAATATTTGGACAAAGCGAAAACGTTTTAAAATGCTTAAATGTAAATACAAGTTCATTAAATTCCCAGGCGTGTAATCACGCGCGTTTAAGAGCGGCTTAAGAACAATGAGATAATTTCTATAGTGGCACTTTTTTTTGGGACACCCTGTAGCTATAGTACGCCGTAGTTGTTCGAACTCACGTCGTTGCATGCGGTATTTATGTGAATTCACTTACGTGCTATTGCTACTTCAGGGAATTTCAGGGTTGTTTGAAAGAAAGAAAGACAAGTACTTTTAAAAGTTTAGTAATGTATGTTCTCGCTCAAATACAACAGTATAAGTAATTTTGTTTTCTGCCGTCGCCTTTGTTTGCCAAACTCACTAATGTCTTGACACTAGTATTACCGACAGGCTATATATATACGGCAAACTGAACTTACAAACTCATCAGACCATATTCTTTTGTATTTCGTCGGTTTTTAACTCCTCCGTAATAACCTTCAATCTAAAAGCAGGCGGTGGTATTTGATTTCTCCCGGGGAAATACGGGGTTGAAGGTTATTACGGAAAAATAATAACCGGGTAGCAGGTTATTACGGAAAAATAATAACCAGGTAGCAGGTTATTACGGAAAAATAATAACCTGCTAGTCTGCTACCAGGTTATTATTTTTCCGTAATAACCTGCTACCAGGTTATATTTTTCCGTAATAACCTGCTACCCGGTTATTACGAAAAAATAATAACCAGTTACCTGGTTTTACATTTCCAATTCAAGACCTGGCACGAGTCTTGAATTCGGGACTTGAATTTGCAGGAAAACTCAAGACCCACATCTCCTTTTCGACTAGAAAACGTTGCACGTCTCTAAGTCGAGAAAGAGACAACAGCCGTGTACCTCAGAGCCCGTCAAAACTCTACCATTAGGTAAGAGTATCTATCATTCGGCGCACGAGGACTAGCTGGATCAACCATCAACCATCAAACATGCTTGTGCAGGGAATTTATACAGTAATATCTGCTCTTTTGTTTGTGGGACGTGAAATGATATACTGCGCATGCTTAACCACATTTTAAAGCGTGTTAATGCGCATGTTACACCTAGTTATTTCGTCCCACAACTGCAGCGACCTCTCACTGAATTAATATAGCTTGAATTTTTAATGAAGAAAACCTCCAAAATTCAAAATAATATGGTCTGATGAGTATATAAACAAGTTAAAAGCCGCGGGTATCGGTTTTTATTAAACTGTAAAGACCTCGGCCCTACGGCCCTCGGTCTTCACAGTTTAATAAAAACCTCTCCCTTGGCTTTTAACCTACATTTAATATTCCAACTTTCGGTCCTTGTCGAGGAGAGAAAAAGAAAAGAACCCGCTATAGCCATCATCATTTATTCATTTGTCCTCTAATTAATAATATTATAGAGGACCAAATGGAAGAAGCTAAGGACCTTGGTATGAGCTCGGTTTGCGTTTAAATAGTGACGAACCGAACATGCATAGAGGACATAAAATCGGGGGAAATTTCATTTGATATTTGGATCGGCCGAAAACGTTCTTGACAAGTGTTTTAAAACTTGACGCTTTAAAATATTCAAGTTTTTGCGTAATCGTTTGGTTGCTTTTGTTATAGACGAGCTCACGTCATTGAGACGTGGACTGGAGAAAGGAAAATACAAATTCAAAAGGCACATTTTATTTTTATGCATGTCCCGCATAATCTTTCAGACCATTCTGGACCTAGCTCTCACAAACTATCCCGATATTTTGCAAAAGAACTTCAAAACTATCTTGCCCTACTGTTGGCTTGAGCACGGTTCACTATTGAAACGGACTTCCATGTATCTCCGTATGTTACTTTTAAAGAAGCATCGCAACAACGGCAAAATTCGTTCACATGTTCAGCGTATTTTGCGTGTAAATAGTTTTGGCGTTTCTTTCCAACTTGACATTACAGACTTGTTGTAAACAATCATGCGTTGAAATCGAGATTTGCGTTCTGTTTAGGGAAGCCTCACATATCGATTTTTTCCACGAGAAACGTCATATGTTCGTTTGGGGGTGGGGGGTTTGCAGACATATACAAACACCAGTCTATAGGCCTACATTCGTAATACCATACCTGTTCTACACGTATACATTTATATTATTACGCCTTCCTTGCATTGAAAACACTCAAATTTCAAGAAAACCGCGCTAAAATTATCAATATTTCATGAAAAAAAAGTTGTTTTGAGAAACGTTGGAAATTTTGAAGTTCATATATATTAATAAAAAAAGATATGTCAGCAGAAGATGACATATTCCTCGCGGAAGCATCGCCAATAGCCGACCGTAGAAAATACTTATGTGTACTATATTGAACAAAATATCGATAACTATGTGTGACGTTTCTAAGTGGGGGTCTTCAGAGAAACGAACATATGACGTTTCTCATGGACGAAATCGATATGTGAGGCTTCCCTTACATATAATCGCAGGCTATTACATAAGGCGTGTCTGTATTAATTTGTTACATTGTATTTTACATTTGTGATTGACAATACTATAAATAGTGATGGGCACAGACGTATTTTTATTGACTAAACCGGCAGGCTCTAATTCAATTCAAAGAGCCTGTTCGCAGGCTATTACATTCTTTGATCCGTCATTATACACATGTGACGTAAATTCCGGACATTTGCATATCACTAAAACTGAAATAACTCGGAGACAAAGTGTGCAAACGAAAATCTTCAAAATAAGTTGTTATATAATTTCAAAAGTTCTTAAGAATGAAATGATCAAAGGAATTGAGGTTAGGTGCACTTTAACTATATTATTCACAACACTACCTGGAGGGTCCTGAAGGGGAGGTCCCAATCCCATTTCCCACCTGAAATTTTGGCAAAATCCCAGTCCCAGTTGGATTTTTATCAGAAATCCCAGTCCGAGTTATTGAAATCCCAGTCAATAAAAAAACCTTTATTTATCGGTACAATAAACAGTTTTAAGACTTTTAAGCCATTGTGTGTGCAAGTGGGCGCACACTTGACCTTTATGAAATTCGGGGGGGGGGGGTTGTGCCGAAGGCACGGAAAATTTTAAAATTTGAATCCCGGAAATGGCATTTGCAGCATTCTGAGACACGTATAATCAGAAAACCCAGAATTCCGGGCGCTAGAGTATGCCTGTTCGCAGGTAGTGCTGTGAATAATATAGTTAACAACAAAAATCATGACCAAAGACACCAAAAACGGATCAAAATTGTATTTTAAAATACTTAAAACGTAGAAAAATTGGGAATCAACTCGCATTACCTCAATCCCATTCCCATTTTTCTGGACTTCATTACCCATTCCCAGTGGCCAAATCCCAGTCCCAGCAACCCAAATCCCATTTTCCCAGTCTAAAAATAGATCAATCCCAGTTCCCATTTTACCCCTTCAGGACCCTCTTGAGTGAAAAGTAAGTCAAACTAGACTGCAACCGTCTCTTATAAAATGGGTGTAATTTGTCTCGGGAAAGCAGAAGGCCCAGGGTACCTGGCAACTCGCTTCCACCCCGCCCCTTTTTTTCCCCACCTCATCACTTTTCTAATGTCCGGTCGTTAAGGAAGATTCTTATTACAGTACGAGTTCATTCCTACTTACTAGACTGTTGCATATGGAAGTCCCATCAAAGCGCCAATTATTCTGTGATGTGACGTCAAACATCCAAAGTAGGGATAATAGAGGAAAGCAATTTCAAGACAGGTTCCAATGATAAGGAATGCTAGAAGAAAGATCAACCCACTGAGTTGTGTTGCGCCCTAGTGCACCCTACTTCATTATTTTACTCTGTCTAACGCCAGACGATTTTACTTGTCAAAGGGAGTTGTTACCATTAATAAAATTTTTAAAGATGACCGATGACTACTATAAGACCAGCATTCCTCGCGGGCATCAAGCCTTGTGACGTCATTATGCATAAGGTCTATTGCATGAGATAAAGCTTGCAAAATTAAAGTCTTATGCATATATACATTTGGAAGATAATTATGAAGTATTGTAAAGTTATATTCACTATATATACTACTCTATGTAAATGTAATATTTTTTCTGTAGATTGAACATCTAGTTTAAGCCATGCATGAGTAAGTAAAAATACTAGCCACGCATTTCTAAGCAAATAGGTTAGTTTCGAAGACAACGCCTAACCATGAGATACGTCGATCGACATACTAAATGCGGTTCATTGAGCAGAAACTCCAAAGTCACGGTACAGTTATGTAAAATACGAGTCATGCTTATTAGGATCCCTCTTCACAGACACTATATAAACCCCAGAATGTTGATAGATTAATTAAACCACCTGTGCCACATGCAAACCATTAAAGTCCAGACACACCGGACGCGATTCGACAACGCGACGCAATTTTTTAGTTTTTGAAAGTTAATAAAACAGCCAATGAGAGAAAATTTTATAAGATATGTAGACCAAATAACTCAAAATGTTCTAACGCTTCTAAATATTTGGAAAATTTAAACTAGGATCAAAGTTATCGTTCAGTGAAAATCAAAAAATCGCGTCGCGTTGTCGAATCGCGTCCGGTGTGTATGGACCTTTAGCTGTAACACATCTGTAATTAACCAATGGGTAATATTGGATAATAAAAGAAAACTAATTCCTACCTTTTCCCCAAGCATTGCTATATCCTGAAATGCTTTCAGAGATCAGAAGCATGATTGATGCAGTGGCAGCTCCAAACACGCACATGATGGCCAGGCGGTCGTGATCCATGCCAAGGAAATCTATAGGCCTACATGCACAAGATGTAATTTAATTAACCCATTGAGCGCAGCACTTTTCAGGGCCTTTTTAAGGATTTTACCGTGGGAGGGACCGTTTGGCGCTGAACGTTCCTGTGAGATAATATATCAGAAGGGGATAGCAACGGCTGAAGGCCACGTGTGTGGCCGATATACCACGCATGAAAATTTTTGAAATTTGAAGCAAGGAAATGCCATTTCCTGCATTCTGAGCATTCAAATTTGCTCCAAAATGTATGCTAAATATACTTGTATTTGAAATAAAAGAAGGAAAAAACGCACAAAAAGTAAAACAAATATTAACCATAATTCATCATTACTTATTAGAAGATAGCAATGGCCAAAGGTCACGTGTGTGGGGCATACTCCCCAGAAAATTTTTGAAATTTGAAACCCAGAAATGCCATTTCCTGCATTCTGAGCATCCAAATTTGCTCTAAAATTTATGCTAACTATACTTGTATTTCAAATATAAGAAGGAAAAAACGCACAAAAAGTTAAAAAAATATTAACCGTAATTTATCATTACTTATTAGAGCAGGATAGCAATGGCAGAAGGCCACGTGTGTGCGGGCATACTACTACCCAAAAAAATTTTGAAATTCGAAACCCAGAAATGCCATTTCCATGCATTCTGAGCATCCAAATTTGCTCTAAAATTTATGCTAACTATACTTGTACTTCAAATAAAAGAAGAAAAAACGCACAAAAAATAAGATAATTATTAACAATAATTTATAATTACTTAGATTTAGGAAAAAGGGACATTTCCTGGGGTATTATAAGGGGGGACTGGGGGCATTTGCCCAGCTTGTATGTTAAAAAAAGGTCCTGATTAATTGGGTCGCCCAAGCAACTTTATTACTTTACTCTATCCAGCGCCAGACGATTTTACTCATCAAAGGTTAGCGCTGACGCTCAATGGAATAATTAACATTAGGCTCCTCCTCATTAATGGATTAACTCATATTATGCAGCAATATACCACAATGCCCCCACTTTATTATTTTACTGTCAAATGCTGGATGATTTTACTCTTCAATTGGAGAGTTTTGTGCGGCCGATTGCTCATTAAAGCCTGGTTCACACGATGAAATAAGCATACGCAAGCGGAACCTTTGATGTAAACATAAGAAGAACAAATGTTGCGTTCTTCTTATGCTTACGTTTATGCACATCAAAGGTTCCGCTGCTTGTGCTTATGCTTATTTCATCGTGTGAACCAGGCTTAATGGATTGATTTAATGTCTAAACTAGAAGTTACTATCGCAAGGGAAGTGCTGCCTTACGACCGAAAGTCTTGGGGATTGATAATATCAAAAAACTTCATTCATTTAAATTGCATTATATATACACTGTATGTATGAATTTATTTTGTTTAATAGTGCAATAATTATTATATACTGTAAACTGTACTTTGGATTTTCATATTTATACACATGTTATTGTTGGTACCAATGTTTAAACCGTCTTCACTTGGCAAGGAAAGAAGAACAAACATATGTCTTTTACTGTGATATGATTAGTTTGTTGAAAGTTTTCATATTCTTTCCAAGTAATAATAGTCTACTGTATTTTCCAATTGGTAAACAAGACCGTGCCATTCGTGGTTATTTGTCCAATATGCAGATGTTTCGTATTTATTTAGCATGTACAGGTAGTGTCCATTGTTGGCCATCATATTGTCCAATAGCTTGTTAGGTTACTGTACATATGAAGGTATGTAATATCTTGATATAGTAGACATAGTGTACAATTGTTCCTGATATCCATATGGTACTGTAGATTGGAAACAAGTACAGTAATTCAATAATACATAGCAGATTCCATATCCCATTGCATTAGATGTATTGTAATATATCCAATCTTGTAAATCATTCTTGTTTTAATAGAAATACATTTCTGTTAATCCAGAAGCTCCCATCCATTTTCATGAGATGTACAGTAACATATCCATATTATATTTTGGCTGTAACAACCATTTAGTTTCATCCAGCAGTTAACATGGCACCATTCACATCCATCAGAATTGCAAAACTATAGAAAAAAATAATTGGAAGCATGAGATATTTATGTGGAAACAGTGGCACATAACTGAGTCAAAATAAAAGTAGGGCAGGGGGAGGGGTTAAACAAACAAAAAAACTTACCTTTCTTCTGTCTTGCAAATCATAATACTTTCATACATACAGTGACAACAAGGAGTAAATTATTTATTATATAATAAATTAAATTAAAAGGGTATATAGTCAAACTACATACCAAACTATAACTGGGATCCATATATGAAATCCCTCTCTTATTCATTAAAACTCAATAGTTTGTTGCTCTAAATGCACTGCTAGTAGCCTGTGCTAACTGATCTAGCCTGTTTTCTTCTTCAAGCCTATATTGTAAGTTGGCTGACGATTTCAAGCTTGTTAATCGTTCATACGTCATTGGTTCAATGACACAAGAGGCAAATGATTTTACTCTGCTAATAGCGACATAAGAAACTCCAGCAGTTCTTTCAGATTTGCCAATATCTATCCATGCTTTTGGAAGTGTAAGTCCTTGGCTCTTGTGTATTGTTAGAGCCCAAGCAAGCCTAAGAGGTAACTGTTGCCTCTCATGGAAACCTATTTCTGTCTGTGATGTGACAGTGATTGGATATATTGGGATACACAATGGTCGGCTTTCATTAAAAACAGGTCCTCTATAGTTTTCAAATTCTACTATTATCGCAATAGGTAAGTCAGGTGGTTGATGGTTGTTCTGATAGATAATATCAACAACTGTTCCAGTAGCCCCATTGCAGAGGCCAACACTTGACCACAAATTCATGGTTAACATGACCCTAGCACCTTTTGCTAGAAACACAACAGGTTCTAACCCAGACATATCATCTGAGGATATCTTTTTGGCCAATGCTGATGAATGGCGAGCATTAATATGAGCAATTGGATGCTCCAGTTTTGTTAGTTGCTCATGGTTGTAATTACTAACTTGTTCATTACTATAAAAGAGTCTAGTAGAATCTTCAAAATCACATAAATTAGTGACATTTGATGGTTGACGTGTCAGAAGTAACTTCCAGTCATCAACTGTTGAGTCGCCTTTGCGAAGTCGTAATAACAAATCTCTGAACTGTACTTGCTCAGATGTCATACCTTGCACGCGTTGATTTACAGTGAGTTTAACAACTTTGTCAAACATATGATATGCTTGATGACCTTGTTCACCAACAGCATTTGATGGTCTAGCATGGTAAAGAGGCTTATCTGCTACTGGTGGCAATTGACCTGGATCACCAGTTAAAATCAACGATTTTCCTCCAAATACTTTGTCATTACAACCAGTTGCTTGTTTGCAACGCTTGTCTATCCAACCAAAAGTAACTTGGCCAAGCATAGAGTATTCATCAATAATGATATATCCAATGTTATTAACACTCTCTTGTAACCTACACAAGCTTTGTCCGGTTAGGTCTTTATTACCTCTTGATCCTACAGGTAATTTTAATAGAGAATGCACAGTTACACCTCTAATGTTAAAAGCTGCTTTACCTGTGGTAGCAGCAACAGCACATTTACTTTGCAAAATATTTCTAATAGCATTAATAAGGTAACTTTTACCAGTTCCTGCAACACCATTTATAATGAGACATAATGGTTCTTTCTCGGATGATGTATCATCAAAATGAGACTTAACAATATTATAAGCAAGTTTTTGCATTTCACTAAAACTGTTGATGTCAACAACATCATATTGCTCATCAATAGTGTATTCCTCTTTGTTTGTTTTTATCCATGTTGGCATTTCTTGGATTTGTTGTTCTGAATAATTGGCTCTGTCAAGATGCCAGTCATATGTGGACTCTGGTGTTTGTTCAGAGTTGTCAAAAGGAGTGTTTAGGTCTGATAATATCATCCACTCTTCTCGAGTTGTCTCCTGTTCTTCAGAAGGTTCATCTTCTGGTTCTTGACTTTGAATGACAGCTTGTAATTTATCAAACCAGTCTGGGACATTAGACTGTCCATAAGGTGTTTGTAAGAATTCATGCCAACAATTGATCAGAACCTCGTCAGTTGGTTCTTGGTCACCCCATGCATTATTTTGGGTTGTTCTCCAGGGTTTAAACCTCAAAAGTTGATATTTGCAATATAGGCCAAAATTTGGACCTTTGGGATTAGGAGAATATGTTGGAAATATTCGTGGTATAATATTCTCTGGCAATTTTGTCAGTTCATTGTTAACAACTTTGTATGTTGTGGCAAATTGAACAAAGTTCATATTTATTATATTTTGTGAACTCTCATATTGTTCACGATTAGCATACACATCAAGAAGTGAATAATCGGTGCGCGATTCACCCTCATCAATACTTGCAGTATCACGCACTCTACGTGAACCATTTAGACTAACTGGCATCACTTTAAATGATGAGCTGTGGAGTTTTAAAGACAGTAAATGATGCATTGTCTCTTGAGCTGCATAATCTCTTTCACCAAGAGATTTGGAGAAAGAGATTATCTCTTTCACCAAGAGAGTTTTTTCAACTACCTTCTTAATAACTCTACGAGGGTCAGTATTACTGTCAACATTTTGCACAATAGAATTGAATGCCTGTTTCAATATAGGTGATCTTGGCTCACCTTTAGCTGCATATTTTGTGAGATATTCAACACAAGCATAGTGATCAATAACAACTTGAATATCACAGTTAGCTCTCCATCCTTGGAGCTGAAGTTGTTGATGGTTATTTAACCTACAGTCATTACGTTTAGTCACAATCTTAGCTCGATAATGCTCATTATCACCTAAAGTATGAATTTTTTCAAATTCTAATTTTGTCTTAGGACAAATATCAAAAGGGAAGTGAAATCTACATTTCAACTCTGTTTCATTTGACTTCTTTCTAAGACAATAACTTGTACTACAACGAGTGTGTCGTTGAACTGTGTTTAAAAGATCTACATAATCTGATTGTTTTTCATGTTCAGGAATGTCGTGATGACTTCTTTGACATGGATGAACCTCAGGTCTTATCCACATGTCCTCATCTGGTGGATTAGGATTGACGGTTGATAACAACCAATCAACATACTGACATACTGTGTCAGCTGCTTTCTTACCAGCTTCAATATCCTGGTCTAGTTCAGTTGTGTCAGAACAATCATTTTCATCTTTAAATTTTTGAGCTAAGAAACCTTTCAAAGCAGTCTGAGTAAGTTGACACAAACCTGGGTCATTATTTAGTTTAGCAGTACCATGACAATGGATACTACCTCTACGGCCTTGATATTCGTATCGAAACCAGTGCCATTTTGCACCAAGTGTGTCATAAAGCCAGTGTTTTACAAAGCTTTCTAATCTTTGTGTGAAAAACCAATCTACAACATGGGGATTGTTTATCACATTTTGTCGTCGTACACTGGTAGAGTTATCTAACTCATTGTCAGTATCAGCTTTAAATAAAGCATGTAACTCAGGCCAATGCATATCTGCAGAGGAGAAAGTGAAAAATAATGTTGGTGCTCCAACACTAGTTATGATAGCTTTGAGTTCCTCTCTTACTCTATTCCAATAAGCATTAGTACCTGCAATATTGCCAACATATCTCGACACTTTAGACATAAATACATTAGTATTGTTACTGGCAGCCATTTCACGCAGTTCGTCAATTGTGAGATGAGCTTCACCTGGGTTCTGTTTGAGGAATATTCCACTTTGTTGTAAAATTCGTTTTCTTTGAATCATATTAAATGCCCAATAAGAAAATCTGGGGTGGTTAGCAAAACGGTATACCCATTTACCATCAATAATTTCAGCAAATTTTAGAAGATGTTTTATTCGTTCGTGAAGAGGGACATCTCTCAGAAGTCCTTGATTAGTAGGATCACCTTTCCCATCCGGAAACAATGTTGGGAAAGCCATTGTGACCAGATGCGATATCTGATACTCATTTAAAGGCTCATTTTCAACTGAGGGCCATGGCATTGGCTCATTTTCAGACAGCTGGTTTCTAACAGCTTCAATTTCCTGCTGTTGTTGTTCACCAACAGGTAAAAACTACTCATTTCAGTTGAGTCATTGTAAACAATATCTTCTGATGGATTATCAGTAGGAGGGCCTACATCAGGAGAACAATTGTCATCTGAGACTATATCATCATCAGTCTCAACAGTCATAAGACCTGGTGGTACACCATCTTCAGGTAAGGAATTTAATGCATCTTTATTAATTAATAACTCAGAATAGTGAGGATTATTATTGATAAGCCAAACTAAAGCATTGTGCACTTTTTTCTTTCGCACGGTCACATCTTTGAATGTGTTTTCTCTACCTTTAGCCTTGACAATAATCACAGCTAAATCTTTAGGATATCTTGGCAAAGACATTGCAAGTTCTTTGACATTTTGTGGCAGGTTAATACAATGCCCCGAATAACTTCGTTGACCACCAGGTTTAATATAAACTCTCATGATAGGCAAAGCACGAGCAATTAACATTTCCTCAATCTGAGTTAAATTCTGCAATTCATGTGGAACACATGAAGGTATCATTGAATTTTCACAAGAAAACTTTTTAGGAGATTTTTTATCTCTGGAGCATCGGGAACATATGTAAGGTGTCCTTGGTTTAGACTTCAAGGGCCATGCCTCCTGACATTCTGTACACTGACTGACAATGTATTGCACAGACTTATTAAACTTATTAATGTTAGCCTTAGCCCAACATTGCTCTTCAATACCACCATTAATGGTGTTGTCAAACAGATTCAAATAATCCTGTTGATTTAATATTTCATGTCGAGGCTGTGACACTTTTTTTGCCCGCTTTTGTTTTTTATTAAGTCTATCTTTCTCAAGCCTGATTTGTCTATCACTGTCAGTTTCCTCTGACCGCTTTCTTTTTTTAGACTCGCGATCCTTTTGAAGTCTAATTTCTTGTTCGCTATAAGTTTCTTCTGAATACTTTCTTTTTTTATACTCACTAGCTTTTTTAAGTCTAGCTTTTTTATCACCTTCAGATTCTACTGAAAGCCTTTTTTATGGTATTCATGATATTTCGCACACTTACTCTTTTGCTCTGAAGCATTACATTTATTTAATTGCACAGGTACAATTTCAAATGAATTGGTATGTAAGTTCATTGAAAGGCAATACAAATATTGTTCTAACTCTAGAATATTAGTAAATTTCATGACAACCGCAGTGCCATTTGGATCAGGCATGCCACTGAAATCTCTGGCATGTGAATCAAATAAATAGATAAAACCTGCTTGCTTTATTAAGGCCATCATATAGCCTTCTAATATCAAGATAGCATAACTATTATTCAAAAATGCATTCAAAAGTGCTGTGTGAATGTCATAATAGTGAGATTCAATCTCTCGGTCAGTTATATAACAAGACCTTGAAGCTCTTTTCCATAACTGATAAGCCAAATTTGATTTTCATTGTTTGTCTCATTAGTCATCACAGAGTTGTGCTCTACGCCAACTTCCTCTGCCACAATGAGTGGATCAATGTTACTTTCCACCACAATGGGCAGATCAATATTTTGTGCCTCAATGGGCTCTACCACAATGGGCAGATCAATGATATTTTGTGCCTCAATGAGCTCTACCACAATGGGCAGATTACTTTTGTTTTGTCCCTCAATGGGCTCTACCACAATGGGCAGATTGCTTTTGTTTTGTGCCTCAATGGGCTCTACCACAATGGGCAGATTGCTTTTGTTTTGTGCCTCAATGGGCTCTACCACAATGGGCAGATTGCTTTTGTTTTGTGCCTCAATGGGCTCTACCACAATGGGCAGATTGCTTTTGTTTTGTGCCTCAATGGGCTCTACCACAATCCAGACTGGAAAGTTTGCAAATTGCGCACCCGAGATCAATATTTCCCGTAATTTTGCGCATCCATTTCTGAAATTGCGCGTTTGATATGAAATTTTGCACCTCCAATTTGCAAAGTTATATTTTTTCCTTAATATAGAAGGTGGTTAAATTTAAGCGGGCTGCAGCTGGGGCATTCCTATTTCCAGTTTTCCTAGCGTTATGCCATGCAGTTATTCACATTGAACTACTTAAAGAGACAGTCAGCCGAGTCAGGCAGAGAACTGAGGGAAGCTCGCGAAATCCGATTTTAAGTCAAACTCTATTCACTAATCAATATAGACCAATAGTCTATTGGCACTTTATCACCTACATGCTACTACATTGCTACTTTACCATTGGCATTGCTACTTTACCATTGGCATTGCTACTTTACCATTGACCATATTTACTTTACAAATACAAGGTGGTAAAGTACAAACAATATTTTTAGTAACAAAAATTATTGGTTATTCCTGACCTATTCACAACAACACCCATCGACGCACTTTACGGGTCGGTAAAGTAGGTTCACCATCCGTAAATAATTTTGACGAATTGTACGAACCATACGGTATGTGAAGCCATTTCACAGTTCCCATGCATTGATGCACTGACAGACAGCACCCATTGACGTACTTTACGGATTGATAAAGTAGGTTCACGATCCGTAAATCATTTTAACGAACTGTACGGTCCGTAAACTGAGCCATTTCACAGTTTGTACGGGACCGTACGATCCGTACGGATCGACAAACGTTTTTCACGTGACTTAGACACAACAGCACCGATTGATGCACTTTACGGATCGGCAAAGTAGGTTCACGAAAAACATTGCACAAACTCAATAACTTCAAACATTATATAACCTTCAGAGCACATCCTCAATATAATCATTCATATATTATTGCTTTGTTCTTTAAAAACATTGAGCAAACTTAACATCAAACATTAATTACATTTTATAACCTTCAGAGTACTGCCCTAACTGCCTCTATATAATATAATAATTCATATTATTGCTTTGTTCTTTAAAAACATTGCACAAACTAAATAACTACAAACAGGAGGGGAAACCATTGGCGGGGGGGGGGACGAATTAAAATGTAGACACTTTGGATATGAAGTATTTTGGATATATTACAATTTTCAAACTAAAATACAGATTTTTGGAACAAAATCGATCAGGTTAGTATGACTAATTACTTTTCTATTTGGCCACTCCAAATTAGACTTTAGAGTTTCTCCCGTCCAGCCCTTATTTCGGTTACGCACGGGTGGGCGGCATTTCCATTATCCATGTCTGAAAGAATCTGACACGACCCATTATTCCATGAAATAGAATAATAGATACACGTTTTAAGTATCCATTCATCCACGTTTCTATGGGATGTTTTGGATTTTTTTATGCAGAAATGAAAGCCAGGATATTAATTAACCTTATCCTTTTAATATTACGTTTGAAAATCAAAACATGTAACGGAAGTGTTTAGCTCAGCAGTTACTGTAGTAAAAACTACGGTGGCCCGTGCGTGCAATTCACAAAACATTTGTTCAGTGCAAAAACAATTACTTTGTTTAGTTGTTGTTTAGACTTTTATTACTCCTTTGGGTTTAGACTGTTTTTATAATCAATAATCATAGGCCGCCGGTGCCTGGAGGTTTGATTTGATAACATATTACATATATAAGGTATATTGTTAAATATTAAACTGTAAATGTGATGCCGCAAGATGCGCCGGTGGCGGTTGGCTCGCAATTTATTTTTGTTGTATTATTTTGTAAACATTTCACTGCATTTACATTTCCAGTCTCTCTGTCGAAACACCCCAGTGATAGAAAGGGAAAAGGCTTCATGTAGCTTTGAAATTTCAGATTAAAAGTACCTTAAACAACTGAGTGAACCGACCGCCTCTGGACGCAAGGACGCTGCTTTTATATTTGTGATTTTATGGTTCAATTCACCACACAAAATTTCCATAAACGCGAATAAAACAATTTATACTACATTTGCATACACTGATAAACACATAATATACCCTTACCTTGCAAACTCCCTTGAAAATCTTTCACAGCAAAAAATTCCACAGAACGAAACGAGTAAACGACGTTTGCTTTGAAAACTTGTCACTAGATCAAATTTCTCAACCGCAAACTTCTATTAGTGAATCGGAAGTTAAATTAGGAACATAGGATGCTGTTTTTCATTGTTTGCATCGCTGACAGCTTGTCTGCTGCCGCACGACGCGCATCTCAAATTCTGTTTCGCGTAAGTTTCTCATTCGCGCTTGCTTTTCTCGCTTCCCAGTGCGCATTTTCTTACGCTCGCGTTTTTTTATGTGCGGCGCACGCGCTCACGCTTTCCTCAGATTCCAAGTGCGCGCTTGAGTTTGAAATATTGCGCAATAGCTTTTCAGAAGCGCGGATAAACGCTGTTGATTTCAAAAGTGTGCGTTTCTTCGGAACATTTCCAAAATGTGCGCGTTCAGATGCGCATTTCGTCCGAAATTGCGCACCCGAGATCTCGGGTGCGCAATACAAACTTTCCAGTCTGGACCACAATGGGCAGATTACTTTTGTTTTGTGCCTCAATGGGCTCTACCACAATGGGCAGATTACTTTTGTTTTGTGCCTCAATGGGCTCTACCACAATGGGCAGATTGCTTTTGTTTTGTGCCTCAATGGGCTCTACTACAATAGGTAGACCAATGTTTATACTTTCCACCACAATGGGCAGATTGTTTTGTGCACAACTTGTTTGTGACATCAGATCAATCTCATACGAAAACATGTTCGTACAACATGAAACACCGACAACGTTTGGCAAGTTATCTACAGACAAGAACTCAATACTTGGTTCTAAGACAATTAATCCATTATTCAGAGCTCTTAAGTACATTTTGTCTCCTTGTAATAAGACATTATTAAATGTTGTTTTTGACCAATCGATCAGTGGCATATTTTCGGCTGTTAAAATTGCCGATGAAAGCACACTGTTTGCCTCTAGATTGGGCACTAAAAAGGTCATCGCCTTGATGTATATTAGCAGAAAGAAATAAACCCATGCTTACCTGATTTTTCTGAATATTTTCAATTGTTTCCATCCGAGTTTGCATCCGTACAAAACCTTGACTCCTCGAGCACATGGAAGGAATTCAGGACACATGCGTGCGCAATAGAAACATTTTCTCGACCTCCCCCCTCAAAATAATTAAGGCACCTGAAGCTTAATTATTTCCCCGGAAATTCGAAATCCCGACAGACACAAGATCGAGATCTCGACAATACATAGATCGCGCGAAAGACTGGGCCGAGTGAACTCTGGAGAAACCTTGAGAAACCATAGAAGTCAAGAATAGTGTGCTGCCTCGCTTCGCTCGGCAGCAATTATATTGAAAATCGAAGTGTAAGTTTATATTTGCCGTTTCTGTGTTTAAATCAAGTAGTTATCCAGAGCATTTTGTGCTTTCTATTCTTAAAATGGTTAGCTATTTAATTTTATTAGTAAGTATATGACCAGACACCGACTCAGTTCAGTTGTTTATATACGGTATACTGAACTCTTGGAACCCTACATTCAAGTCCTTTTCATCGGAAGTACAACTGAAGTTAAAATAATTCAATGTATACATACATGCCATACATACATACACACATAAACTTTATTTAACACGGGAAATAACCATCAGTACATCAAAACTATTGCTATTTAATTACAAGTTTGTAGATATAAAATTAAATGCAAAGAATGAAAAAGGAGAGAAGAGATAAGTAAATCAAATTCCATTTCAAAAACTGAAAATGTGGCGCCAAATTGAGACAAGCTAAAATCCCATCCGCCAGGATGCCATACAGTTCTTAATTTAATTTTTATAGTGTAAATCATAAGTGTTTTAAACATGCACCTGGGTCGGTGGTTCAAAGCTAGGTTAGTGTTAACCCTTGGTTAAAATTAAACCCGATATTATTAGAAATTAACAATATACTCGTAACTCGCAACTCGCAACTCCTTTAGTCGAGAACAACCAACTTCAACTTCTGTGGAACTATTCAAACGTTATTCATCATGGAATATGGAGATCTTCAGTCTCGAATTTTGGAGTGTTTACAATTGCCACTTAAAGACAATATGCAAACCTGTAGTCGAGAACAACCAACTTGAACTTCTGTGGAACCATACAGACGTTATTCATCGTGGAATATGGAGATCTTCCGTCTCGAATTTCGGACTGTTTACAATAGCCATTAAAGACAATATGCAAACGTTTAGTCCAGAACAACCAACTTGAACTTCTGTGGAACCATTCAGACGTTATTCATCGTGGAATATGGAGATCTTCCGTCTGGAATTTCGGACTGTTTACAATAGCCATTAAAGACAATATTCAAACGTTTAGTCGAGAACAACCAACTCGAACTTCTGTGGAACTATTCAGACGTTGTTCATCATGGAATATGGAGATCTTCCGTCTCGAACTTTGGAGCTTGTTTACAACTGCCATTTAAAGACAATATGCAAACCTTTAGTCGAGAACACCAACTTGAACTTCTGTGCAACCACTCAGACGTTATTCATCGTGGAATATGGAGATCTTCCGTGTCGAATTGTGGAGTGTTTACAACCTTTTGTCTAGAACAACCAACTTCAACTTCTGTGGAACTATTCAGACCTTATTCATCATGGAATATGGAGATCTTCCGTGTCGAATTTTGGAGTGTTTACAATTGCCAATCAAAGACAATACGCAAACTTTAGTCGAGAAAAACCAACTTCAACTTCTGTGGAACTATTCAGACATTATTCATCATGGAATATGGAGATCTTCCGTGTAGAATTTTGGAGTGTTTACAATTGCCAATCAAAGACAATATGCAAACCTTTAGTTCCAGTGAAATTATAATAAAGCTATATATGTGGATATGTCACTCCATCGTGTATTAAAGTGAGAATACTTTCTGGCGAATATGGTATATTTTCTCTAGTTCAAGATATACAACTTTAGAATGCGCAGGCAAGAATGTGGATGATCATCAAATACTATATACGTATACCGAATATAATGGTAAACTATGGCTGACCAAACGGATAATTTACTTATTAAAGCGATGGCTAACGCTTTCACCGAAAAGCTGTAACTCTGAAGCATTCACGGGATGGACAACTTTAGCAGAAACATTGATGAAAAATAAAGATATTTAATTAATTTTTATTCCTATATATAGTATTGTAATTTTACAGTAAAACATAAAATATTTCGAAATAAATATTTCGTTCAATAAACGTTTTGTGAATGTAGAGAAAAAATTAGGAAAGATGAAAGAAAACGGCCGGTACATGTATTACAATTATGAAGTAGGGAATATATTAGGTCCCGAAAATGTTTTCGCCCCCCGCCTCGCCGGCAACATTTCCGGAAAAACTTTTTATGTTGGACAATTTATGGAAATTAGCCACACCCTCTCCCCCCATAAAACTGTCCAGCCGCCACTGGTTTCCAGACCCTGAGAAAATCAAAGAAACCAATACCGTATTTACTCGTTTGAGCGCCGCTCCCGATTAAGCGCCGCACTTATTCACAACAACGTGGCGCTTAATTGAAGCACTGTCAGAATAATTGTTTGTGACGCCCAGCCACGGAATTGAAGGAAAACACCTGCCTTCTCCGCAGGCTCCTCTATATAGATCAAATTTAACTATATAGATCAAATTTACTGAATATCAGTAATATATAGATCAGCGCATGCATCAAATTTGACTATATCGATCAAATTTAAATATCAGTAATATATAGATCAGCGCGTACACTGCAAGTCCGATAAAGACGCACGTCTTAGGCGCCGCCCGCAACTAAGGACGAGCGCGCAACTAATTATTCGTTTCATAAATTATTCTAATTATTCGTTTTCCTCTTAATTATTCGGGTTTTTTCGTTTTTCCTGATTAAGTATTTTCGTTTCTTCCTAATTAATTATTTGATAGCAAGCCGGACTGGGGACGAGGCAGAGAAAACACCGTGGGTACGAGGTTGAAATCTTTAACAAGCCTCGGAACCTTTTTATCCTGCATTTCACAACTCGAACAAGCGCCGCATCCGTAACCCTAAAAATTTAAAACGAGCAAATATGGTAACTAAATATTAGGCTTATAAGAAAGTTGCGCAACGCAAAATCCCAATTAAACGCCTGTAGGGCTCCAATTACCTATCTCTAAATAATCTCTAAAATACATATATTGTACGCGTGGAACTCGACGATAATATCGATACTGCTGCCGTGTATCACGAGCTGAATTCTATCTTCAACAGTTTGTATCATCGTCTGACATTGTTAGAGTAAATAGGCAAGAAAAAAATGCTTACCGTTCTGCGATTCTTCAACTATAAGTTTCAACCATGAGTGACTTCAGCTATAAATGTCGAGAGAATGGCACTATCTGGTACAGCTCGTGTAATGTGGTCGGCAGAAATATTTTTTGGGATCACTTTAAGGCTTGGTTACCAAGCACTGAACTATATATGTGCTATTGACCACTGAACGTTACATATATGATATATAAAGCAATAAAACGCAAACACAATCTGATAAGTAACTGAATTTTATGTTGGACACCAAAGTGGCTTATAATGGTTGGCTAATAGCATATTGGGACATGAGTGAGGCACTGTGAGGGAGTCTTCTTTATTACAGTTAAAACATTTCATTTTCACTTTGTTTAGAGTATTGCGGAACTACTGTGAATGTAGCACTGTATGCGGCAAAATATACATCATGATATTCAGCATCGCATGCTATCCTATCGTGCAACAAAAAATGATGAATCTGGGGCTGAAGCTGGTGCAAATTGCACTATTGTTAATGTTCCCAAGTTAGATCTTCGTATTACTATAAACTATTGCCAAATGATATTATTTATTTATTTATTTTTTATTTATTTTATTAATTAATACTTCGCCCATATAAAATACTATTATTTACATAAAAGGAAAAAAATATAAAATAAATTATTGGGCTAGGAGTCTATTGAAACCTTAAGGCCGGCGCACACTAGAGCTATGTGCTTAGCAAAATGTCATTCGGCGTAAGGAGATAGCTCTCGTGTGCGGGCGATTTACGAACGACTTTTGTCATTCGTGCCACTTACGCCAAATATCTAACATGTTTGATAATTTCTGCCTCGCGTGCCAAAATCTTTCCGTGTGCGGCGAACGAAAGCTATCTGCTTACGGATTGTCGTAACAGCGCATGCGTAGTATACGAGAGTAAACATCCAAGATGGCGGCGCAAAATGAATTGCTGGCCGAGGCAATTTTAGAGGACAAACTTGTCGAACTTTGGCCTGAATATAAATGTTTATACGATGTGAGTTCTGCAGATTTTAGAAATAGGGACAAAAAGGAATGTGCGGTGAAAGAAATAGCCAGTAAGTTTGTCCTCTAAAATTGCCTCGGCCAGCAATTCATTTTGCGCCGCCATCTTGGATGTTTACTTTTGTATACTACGCATGCGCTGTTACGACAATCCGTAAGCAGATAGCTTTCGTTCGCCGCACACGGAAAGATTTTGGCACGCGAGGCAGAAATTATCAAACATGTTAGATATTTGCGTAAGTGGCACGAATGACAAAAGTCGTTCGTAAATCGCCCGCACACGAGAGCTATCTCCTTACGCCAACAGTCACGAATGACATTTTGCTAAGCACATAGCTCTAGTGTGCGCCGGCCTTTAGTGATTGTCTGAAAGAGTTCAGTGTGACACTCTCTTTGACATAGCTCGGTAGCGTGTTCCACAACTCGATACTGATAGCTCTGTATCTAAATGGTCGTTGTGCTATGCTCGTTCTACATTTGGGTGTGTCATGAAAATCGTTTTGGTATCGAGTTTCCCATATATTGTTCTAACCTATAAAGATTCCCATATATTGTTCTGACCTATAAAGATTCCCATATATTGTTTTGACCTATAAAGATTCCCATATATTGTTCTGACCTATAAAGATTCCCATATATTGTTTTGACCTATAAAGATTCCCATATATTGTTCTGACCTATAAAGATTCCCATATATTGTTTTGACCTATAAAGATTCCCATATATTGTTTTGACCTATAAAGATTCCCATATATTGTTTTGACCTATAAAGATTCCCATAATATATTGTTTTGACATATAAAGATTCCCATATATTGTTTTGACCTATAAAGATTCCCATAATATATTCCTTTGACCTATAAAGATTCCCATATATTGGTCTGACCTATAAAGATTCCTATATATTATTCACTGACTTTCTATTAAGTAGTAAATTCCAGGAAAGATACAGAAAGATATGTATATGGTAGCAAGCGTTGTTGCTCTGCCCATAGTTAGCCATGTGTAATTGAGTGTAATATCTTGTAACTGATATTTAGCCATGGATAGAGAATGGTCGCGAAGTATGCCGGGAACAGTTGGCACTGGTGGTAGCGGCGACAATTCAGGTACGGGTGTTTATAATATGGATTGACATAACCAAGGGGTGCAGCCCCCCCCCCCCCGCTATACACATGAACATTTAATACTATTTTATATTATTATTATTTTATTCTATTAGTGACAGTTTAACGTTAAGCATAAAAATCAATGTACGGACTTATGTAAACTAGAAATGTACTCGCCATTTCTGCCGCGCACGCGCGTTCTAATCTTATGATTTAAAATATTTTAAAACTTCAGACTGCAAGAAAGATATGTGGATTCTTTGGGATAACTCAAAGTCAGTGGGGCCAACAACATTTAAAAATCAAGTCAGACCGTTTCTAAAAAGCCTCATCAACAGCCCACAATTGAATGTTGGTCCAGATGGCACGCATATTGGCATTTTGACTTTCAGTACACAGGCGCAGACCAGGGTGTTATTGAAACTTGGAGAAATAAAATCTCCGGTGGCCCTAAACAACTACCTCGATTCTCTAAGATACATTGACGTACGTGGAGACGGTACCCGAACCGGTATGGCTTTGAAACTAGTTGATGAGGTGAGTTTGTGATTCCTCTTTACCGAATACGGTGAAGCTTTATTGGGTACACGCGTAAAAACGCACAAGTTGTAACAAACCTGCAGCAGACTAATAGCAATGCTGTTCCAACAACTTGTGAACAGGATGTGTTAACTTGCACTGCTTAGCTTGTTCCCAGCTTGTTGATAAGTTGTCAACAGCTTGTTGACAACTTGCTACAAAATTATTGAGCTCAAGAAGCTTGTTACAATTTGTTCCAACGACTTGTTATCGTCCTGCAATGCATCAGATCAACAAGTTTTGAGTGACAACCTTGTACAACTTGAGATAACAGCATTGTTACAACTTCACTGAAGGGCTTGAATCGTACAATAGATTAATTGTTACAACTTGTTGACAAGCTACAAGCATGTTGCGAGCACATGAGAACACGGTCCATTGAAAACCAGCGAATGCTGAATGGCTACCGTGTTTAAATAATTTTAATAAAACACAAAACATCTTGTTGACAAGTTGTGAGATTTTTACGTGTATATAGCAACTTGACCTCCAAACCCACGTAGCGTCATCCCAATAAACGGTGAACATTTAAAAGTAAATTAAATATTTTCTCAATGTAGAAATTTAACGTGTCAAGTCCAAGAAATTATCGACCAGATGTATCAGATGTGGTCTTGATTTTAACGGACGGTCAACCGATCAGACGCAAAGACGAAGACAACTTTGGCGACAAATACAAAAGTAATAGTGATGGCGAAGAATTGCTTGCTAAGGATCGAGCTCAAAGTCTCAGAGATAAAAATGTCACTGTGGTTGGACTGGCAGTGGGGTCAGAGGCCACGTTGAGTAAATTTGGAAAAAAGATTAAGGAGTGGACGACAGAAGGGAAATACTTTGAAACGAGCAAAGATAGGCTGCACAGTGTCATGAAAGAACTCATAAGTGCCTCTTGTATTGACCCAGGTAAGCAAAGTGGGCATAAACGTCCAGGCAATGGCTATCTCGTTCATTGTGAGTGCACGAGAAAACCAGAGTTACAGACAAAATGACCGACGTCAGTTATCCTACATACAGTAGACCTACTCTGGAGTGGTAACTCACCTAATTTGTAACATGTTACGTGTGACGTCATCAAAAACTTCAATAAATTCAATCACTCAACCGTACTTTCGAAATATTTATAAGCAAAATTTTATGGTAAATTTGTCTCAAAATAAAAATTATAGCCCAATTACCCTTCGTTTGCCGAGTCTCAATAAACGTACCTGCCTATGCCTTACTCCAATTTCATTTACAGGCCAGTGCGGGTGTTCTGGAGCCATCACAGCTAAAGTATTCCGCGCTGCCCAAGGAGGGAAGGCCGTAATCAACTGGGAAGTACCAACTCTTAAATGTGCCTCTGGCCGCCAGGCGGTAATTAAAAGCACAGATGTTCAACCACCAGGCGTCAGCCCTCCTGCAGCGTTTGGTGTTGGAAATCATACTGTCACATATACATACGATTATCGGAGAGGAACCAAGGTGGTGAGACTGCAATGCCCAATCAAAATTAATGTCACAGGTATGTAGGGAAGCGCGGGGTCGAATACGGTTTGGAAAATATGTGGTGGAATGCAGTTTTAGGTTCAACACAGGGCTTAATAGTCGAGAAGACTGGTATTAGCCAATTTGCCGAATACTACTTAAGGAGGTTTCGGACTCATAACACCATGGATTGTAAAATAACTGGATAGGAAACTTCCTGACGTCACAATCTAAACCTAGTTGCAATCTCTGACGTCACGTGTATTGCCAAAGTTCTCAGCATTTTTGTTGTTTCGCTATATTTTCCGCTTTAAAAGAGTAATATTGAAGCATAAATTCTGGTCTAATTGTTTTAAAAACATGCCTAAACCACGACAAAGTATTCAAAGTAAATGTTTTTCGTCTTTGTTTTGTATTTTTTTTTTGCATTTGTAGCTACGAAATTGGCGTCGCCAATTTTTACGAAATTTGCGATGCATTTTGCACTGTTTCGGTGCTTGAAATATTTGCTAAAATTGACCGGGAATACTTAGAGGTTTCATCGTAGAATGGCCTAGTTATATTCATTTGCTCTTTGACTAAAATGTTTAGCTGTATTATCGCTAAACATGCCGTTTTTGAGAATTTCGTTTTCAACTAGGTTTCAACGCCATCATCCCATTGAAAACATTACGTCACGTCAACTAGTTTCCTATCCATGTATTTTATTACCCATGATAACACTGATGTGAAAAGAGTCGGTCAACGCTCTACTGAAAGTCGTGGATTTCTCCGGGTTTTCCGTAATTCAGCTTGGCTCTCAGCTGCAAGTATTAAGGATGATTAGGGCTATCTTTAAAACAGGGAATGAGGAATCCGGGAATCGGGGAATCCGGGAATTGGGGAATCCGGGAATCGGGGAATCCGGGAATCCAGAACTGATAAGACGGGGACATTGGTGTGCTTGTTGGAAAACGCATTAGCTACTGTATACAATGCGAATTAGTTGTCTTAAATAACTTATGCCGATGATATATTATAGATTATAACAGCGCTGTGCACATATGTGATTTTAATAACATATAAATTTATTAATTTCAATTAGACATTAGCGTCTATAGAATTTTGTTCCAACGCGCAAGTTTTTTGAATTAATAGACTGCAAAATGCATGCATCTTACAGGGAACGGGATAACACTAAACTAAAGCCCACGCTTTATATGTTAAATATTAATTTTAGCCAAATGGGCGCAATTCGACGGCGGCGACGCGGTATGTTTTTAGTTTTCATTCACGGATACTTTGTAATCCCAAATTACTTACAATACTTTAAAGTTAACATATTTTTGATTATTTTAACAACTAAAAATCGCGCAGATTTGGTTTAAGCAGATGTTGGAGTTTTTAAACTCCACAGTATTAATGTCTTAAAGTATCCGTGAATGAAAACCGTACCGCGTCGCCGCCGAATTGCGCCCCGTTCGCTTTAATATTTAACATATAATAAAGCGTGGGCTTTTAGTGTTACCCCATTTCCTGTATGATGCATGCATTTTGCAGTCTATTAATCCAAAAAACTTGCGCGTTGGAACAAAATTCTATAGACGCTAATATCTAATTGAAATTAATAAAATTATATGTTATTAAAATCACATATGTGCACAGCGCTGTTATACATATATAATATATCATAAGCATAAGCTATATAGTAAGACAACTGATCCGCAGTGTATACTCTATGTACATCGTCTGTATTATTCTAAACAAAGTATCAAATGTGTTTTCCAACAAGCACATTCATATCCACGTCTTATCAGTTCTGGATTCCCGGATTCCCCGATTCCCGGATTCCCAGATTCTCCGATTCCCGGATTCCCCGATTCCCTGTTTTAAAGATAGCCGATGCCGCATTAGCACACCTCACTTTAGATGCTGTGGACTTGGCAGCTATTAGAGACCTTGCAGTAAAATGTATAGGGTGGGAAAGCGACGACGACGGTCAAAATAAATTCACTCAAATAAATGATTGTAAAGAAAGCTTATCATATATTGACAATCGTATGAATTTAAAACAGCTTTAAGAGATCAGAACAGAGGCTTTCGATTGAGTAGAATTCCACATTAGTACCATGGATAATAAAATGTTAGTACTGAATCAATTTGCGGAGTATCCACTTCTTACGAACTAAAATGCAAATGTTGCACACAGGATATAAAGCTTTGGTTTACTAGTTGTAAACAGACAGCGGACGACGTCTAAATCTTCTTCCGTGGAATTTTAATTTTTTTTTTTCTTAAATATTATCAATTTCATTGTATTACTAGTCGTAGCCATCACATCGCTGTCCTAGATCTTGAGATCTCTACTGTTGGCCGCGTGTTTAATGAAGTTATTTATGATTATTTCAGCTTGCCAATGCCCTGGAGTTGTTCGTGTTAATGCTGAACTCGCTGGTGGTTCAAAGACGGTCTTCGTTTCATGGACAATTCCCGAACCGAATTGTCCTGCAACTTTAAGTTCTGTCTCACCCCCAAAGGCAGGGAATGGAAACGGAAGATACCCAATTGGAAAATATGATGTTAGATATAACTACGAACACAGCAGCGCCTCTGGAAGCTTTTCGCTGAACTGCCCCGTAAAAATTACGATTGAGGGTAAGTTGATGCTTATACTAAACTAGTCTATCTTTTACTAACCTGTGTACACACTGTAGTAATTACTTAATATTTCAAATCCAACTGTGAGGACTGGTCTGACTGGACTAGATTTCAAGTCCGCGCAAGTTGATCACGTCTGAGGCAAAGCCGAATTGGAGGATTTGAAATGACATCCCATGCGAATAAATAAATACTTAAAGTCACAGTGAGGTGAATTAATTTTGATCCAGTCCAAGGACTGAATTAATTTTGATCTTTCTTCTCCTTAGAAATTCAGTGACAGTGAGGATGATTCCCTATTGATCCAGTGTAACATAAACTAACTAAACTAACTTTATTAATACTGGATAGCTCTATTAGTTCTAAATTGTTCTTCCCAGAAGTCCAGGAAGGATTATCTCTTATTGATCAGTGTTACTACAGAAGGAAACATAAACTAAACTAACTTTATTAATACTGGATAGCTCTATCAGTTCTAAACTGTTCTCCCTAGAAGTCCAGGAAGGATTATCTCTTATTGATCAGTGTTACTACAGGAGGAAACATAATCTAAACTAATTAACTTTACTAATACTGGATGGCTCTATCAGTTCTAAATTGTTCTTCCTAGAGGTCCAGGAAGGATCATCTCTTATTGATCCAGTGTCACTACAGGAGGAAACATAAACTAAACTAACTTTATTAATACTGGATGGCTCTATCGGTTCTGAATTGTTCTTCCTAGAGGTCAAGTAAGGTTCATCTCTTATTGATCCAGTGTTACTACAGGAGGAAACATAAACTAAACTAACTTTATTAATACAGGATGGCTCTATTAGTTCTAAACTGTTCTTCCTAGAGGTTCAGTAAGAATCATCTTTTATTGATCTATGTATTACTACCTATACAGGAGGGAACATAAACTAAACTGACTCAGTTATTAATACTATACATTCTAATCTCTATCAGTTCTAAACGGTTCTTCCAAGAGGTCAAGTAAGGGTGACTGGTGCTTATTGACCAGTGTTACAACTGTTACTACAGAAGGAAACCTAACTATAACAGCCTGTTTACACTTGCAATTTTTGCAATGTCTAGTGCGATTTTCTTGTTCCCACGTATTTGAACGAGTAGATGAGTAATGAATGCTCCGAGATTTGCTCGGAGTATATGCACCCTCATCTAACAGTCATAGCTCATCCACTCGTTTACATCTATCAGAAGATAAAAATCACGCCTAAAATCGCAGCAAAAATTGCTAGCGTAAACGGGCATTAAACAAGTACTGGCTAACTCTGTAAGCTCTAACCTCTCTAGAGGTCCAGTGAGGGCAATGTGGCTTAGTATTATACACAAGAAAAAAGGACAAGTTGTAACAAACCTTCAGCAGATTTGTAGCAATGCTGTTCCAGCAACTTGTCAACAGGATATGTTTGCAATGATTGTTCTCAGCTCAACAGACTGTTGAGCTCAACAGACTTGCTATAAGTTGTTCCAACAATTCAACAACTTGATAACAATTTTTGAGTGACAATCTTGTAGCAAGTTGATAAAATAACAGCATTGTTATAACTTCTTGACAAGCTTGCTACAAGCCTGTTGCGAACACATCTTTAAAACGTGCATTGTTTGGTGAAACTATTTCATTCTGTTCTGTTTTGTATAGGGAAATGCGGTGGTGTTCGTTTTGGAGCATCGCAAGTGTGTTGTTGTGGAGCAGTTCACGAGAGGAAAGATGGTTATGACTGCTGCGGATTCAGGTATTACGATACTCGAATTCAGAGATGCGAAGATTTTTCATACACACTGGTGAACATCTAAGCCTAAGGAACTCTTTATATTAATACTTGCCAACTAACTTAGAAAATTAGACACAGCGTAACCGTGGGACTGTGCGGTTAAAGCTGGTATAGCTTTATATACTTTATACTTAATTGGCATTTTATGCGTAAACAGTAAAAGGGTGTGTAATCAATTTTGATAAACTTAAAGTAGTGCAACAATATTGCTTTAATTTGGTATCATTGTTAAAGATTGTGTAACTGTGAATGGTTAAAAGATTTCTGCTTAATATTTTTGTTCGTGGCATAGTTTGTTGTGTTATTGATAGGTATGTAATCTTTTATGGCATTTGCATAACACTGAACTTGAAAAGACAGGCGGTGTGCGACACGTGACTGTAACCGGCCAATCAGATAACAGAATGCTATGCTACTGTTTCGCAACATTGATACCACTGTTGAAGGAGGTCGAAGTTTTTTGAAACGATTCGTTGCTTATTTGCATTCATCTACTCAGTTTTACTCTCAAGATAGCTTAGTTTATATTCTGACAAAGTGTCAGGAAAATATTATTCGATTTGATTGTAACTGAACATGATTTTTTGTCTTGCAATTAAGTACGACACGCTCTAGCTTTGCAACAAGATGTGTGGTCATTCCAGCCTAACGCCCGCATTCTAAAAACTCACTCCCACTCACACTCAATGAGCGGAAGTTCAATCTGAGCTTCTCTTGAGTGTCATTGCTGTTTTTGAATAGTATTCTGCAATAATCTGTCGTGGTTTGCGTTTGAACTACCTGAAAAAGATATCTCAACGTAGTGGTTCAGTGTAGCTAGTATTCCAGAATAAACTGTCGTGGTTTATGTCTGAACTACCTGAAAAAGATATCTCAAACGTGGTGGTCCAGTGTAGGTCGTATTCTGCAATAAACTATTGTGGTTTGTGTCTGAACTACGTGAAAAAGATATCTCAAACGTGGTGGTGCAGTGCAGGTAGTGTTCTACAATAAACTGCCGTGGTTTTTGTCTGAACTACCGGCCTAACGTTGTCGTCCAGTGTAGGTAGTATTCTACAATAGCTATTCTATAATAGGCTATCATGGTTTGTATTTGAACAAGAAGGGTTTTCTCTCCTTAAACATCGAAATGTTTTAAATCTTTCCCGAAACAACTTATATACTGATAATATTGGTTTAGAAATAAGCATAGAAATATGGAGCCGCGGAAAAGCTTGAAACATCTGGTCGGTATACTCCGTGCAGTCTATATCGGGCAGGCACTTACTGGCATCTCTAGACAATAAAGCAACAGCTTGTTTTTGTTGTTCATCGCAGGAACCTGAGCTTCGAATGTCTTCGAGCTGAGAAACAGTTAAATGTTTGTAAATGTAAATATATATAAATATATATATCTCGTTCTTCATTATTTGTTAAAAACCTATTTTTCTCTTTCAAATGTAATACAACTCCAGCTTACTATTTTACAGTTATGTATTGTACATTAATTATAATATATTTCCTGACTTTAAAAAACAACATTCGAACTGCATGCTAGATTATGAAATTAGCTAGTTATATAATTATTACCTAGGGACCTTAAACAAAAGCCTTTTGGTTTCTAGAAGGTTCCTAGCCCTAATTTTGTAAATATTTAATTCTACTTCTTATTGTTATGTAATTGGGCGAAAATTTTAAAAAAAAAGAAAAAAAAAAGAAAAAAAGTTTATACAATTAAAATGTTCGTATCTAGATCTAGCATGGTTTAATTCATGTTGTTAGCACTGTGAGTCTGCAAGCGCATGCATCAGGGCGGTCGCTATGGTGCGGTGTGTGACACTCACCCCAAAAAAACATCTTTTCGGCAAAATAACGGATTCGTCGGCAAAATGTTTTCGTGGTCAGCGAAAATATTTGAATGGCTCGGATTAAAAAGTATTAGTATAATTACATAGGTGATTATTGAAAATTCTCCACGCTGATTGGTTACCGTTGAGGTGATTATTACACGATAATCACCTAAGCGATTTTCAAAATGGCGGCCGAAGCCGTTTCGTCAATTAAAAGACGAAGAAATGTGCATTTTTTAATTTTTTTCCAAATAATCACCCATGAAATTATACTAAAACAATTATTCACCTCAGGCTCGGTGATTATCGTGAATAAAAACTTCGACTTCGTCTCGGTTTTTATTCACCGATAATCACCTCGCCTTCGGCGAATAATTGTTAAATAGTTATAGCAAAAATTAAGTTAGTGAGAAATTGTATGTCCGCAAAATCAGTTTAGTCCCAATATGTCGAAATGACTAATTGACAGATATTTGTCCTGAATATAATAATTTTCCTCACGCTGTGCTCTCCAGAAGTTATAATGCTCTTCAGTGCAACATTTGATATGGTACGCCCCCCCCCCCCTCCCCAGAGGTCCAGAAAGGGCTCCAGTGCGGCAGCAGAATCAGAACAAAATATGCGGAGTTTAGTCGAATCAGACTGGAAGCATTTCAGCCAATTCTCACATGGGACTAAGCTAGGGGAAATACTGCATGTTGCATGCAGAAATTAAGGGGTGTGAAGCCCCCCACATTGGCGGTCCCTGGAGGAGACAACCTCGAGGGAAGAGTGGGAAGATCCAGGGTACGAGCTGAACTGTCCAGGATCAGGGCCTTGCCTGTTTAGCTGAAGCTGTGGCCTGCACTCAGGCGTAGAATATAAAAAAGAAAAAATGCACCCACCCGTGTATCTCAGGGCCTGTGAGAGTTGTGCACGGCCGAGAGTCCCTGGGGACGAGGCTTATACGCGCCAAATTATATTAGTTATTCCGTCCTCTCGCACTTGCTTAGCAAAACCAAAAATGCAAAAAAGTCTCTAAAGCCTTGACAAGTCAATATTTTTTTTCAAGTAGTTCAGATGCCGCCAACAATGGCAGCTTGTATTAATTAATAATCCATGCAGCCTTTCATTTGCATTAGAATAGCATATAGCAAAGTAAAAAATAGAGCTTAACGGCATAAAACATTTGGTGTGTGGCAGTCTACATATACTACATGCATCAGTATTCAACCACTTGCTGATACTTCTAGATAAGAAAGAAACAGCTTGTTGTTGATTTTTTGCTGTTTGACGCAAAACAAGCTGAATTGGAGAATTTCAAAAGTTTTCAAGCCTAAAACAGGTATATAAAATATATACAACTAAATATGTCATGTCTAGTTAATGTAGTATTGGTAGCACATAGGTTATGTGTCTTTGTCCTCGGTTCGACTTTGTTCGAGGAAGGCAGTCGTTTTATGTTGTTTTTTTTCTCCTGATTATATTTCCTCATAGTCGCGCATAATTGGGTTAGGCCAGATCACCCTTCCTGGACATTCAGGAAGAACAGTTCAAAGCCGATAGAGCTAACCAGTGTGGACCCTGTCCTTCGACACTTCAACTAAACTCAAGTAATAAGTTCTTTGAATGTTTGCATGGCGATAAAATATAATTGTTTTTGTTTATAAAAAGAGCGTGTGAATTAAACAAGTCACATATTATTGGCACTGATGAAGATCCGGGCTTACGGATCGAAAGCTTTGCAGTAATAAATTTACGTGGTGTTTCCACAAACAAAAACAATTAAACTCAAGTAATCTAATTTATATATGCTACATAAATAGCTCCATCAATTCCAACTCATTCGCCCTACAAGGCAAAAAAACGCCGAGCCCGTTGCTCAACAGGACTGAACAACGTTTTCGGCTGCCCACGTTGTTCACACTTGTCAACAATATTGAACAATATTGTTGAGCCTGAATCGGGTGTAACAATATTGTTCAATATTGTTGACAGCTATGAACAATGTGGGAAGCAAAACATTATTCAATCCTGTTTTCATCAGTATTGCATGAACCCGGAGCGTTTTTACTGACGCGTATAGGAGTCCATTAATCGGCAATCCTTATTGATAAAGTGTTTGTCCCCAGAGAAAGCCTATGGTGATTGTTAGAGTGAAAGAGACGCACTCTGCATGTTTATTCTCACATACGAATGAAAAGAAATTATCAGTATATAACCCAGGAAAAGTGAACGCTCACCACATTCTGAATGCATTTTACACTTTTTCTACTGTATGACGCACCAATCCACAATGACATCCAGGCAAAACTATATTGAGTAGAATTGATGTTTCAAATTCATTATGTTTAGCTTAATGCCATTTCCTATACATAATAATTTGTGTATAATGAGGTGATCTTATAATTCTCTACGAATTTAAATTACAGTAGACATGTCACTGTCCCCATAGCAGATAGTGAAAAATATCAGAAAATGCACTTTACGCGGACTTGTAAATTTTTAAAATTTTCTGCCAATACAAGCTCTCAGGTCCACCTATAGCCCTAGCTCAACAGCCAACACCACCCTCCGCCCCCCACTCCCCACTCGCTTCGCTGTCCCTGTAACTGCAAGGGAACGAACTCACATCCCAAAAAAAAGGTAAAAAAGTGAAAAAGCAAATGCATGCCCCTTTAGCCATTGTTGCCACCAATGAATGATTACAGCTTTTGACGAAATTTTGCTCTAGACATGAAGATCGAAACCATTACCATAGCTATAGCTGCATGGAAAGAAAAAAAAAAAAATTTAACAACTTTAATTTGGCACATAAAAAACTGAATATTTACATAACTTAAACGGATAATTACATTGTACAAGAAGACGAGGAAAGTGCCAAAAGTGACGAAACACAAACGAGACTATGCCCCATGCAAGGTGCTCACCACTAGAAAACAAATAAAGACAAGAAACAAAGACAAGGAAGATTAAATGAAAAGACTACGAGAATGACAAGGCAGAAAGAATGAAAAGACAAAGAGAGAAATGTTAGATATTTTTATTGAGTCGTGATAAGTGAGTGTGAACTAGGTAAGTCAGGAGTGTGGGAAGTACTAGTGAGGTGGATGTAAGTCTTGCGCAAGTATGACTTAAAAGAGGAGACAGTGACATAACAATACGAAGGAGCAGACGTACAAACATAGTTCCACAGTTTAACAATTCTAACACAATACGAACTTTGAAATGTACTTGTTGGAAAGAGCATCTTAAAATGAGTAAAATTTGCAACGTTTGGTTGCGAATTGTTGTAAAATGAGGAAATATAGCCATGTGAAGTTCGCAAATTTTGTATATAATATATTTGCATTTACGCTCGGGAAAAATAACCATTCTTGAGCCAAATATTAGGGGTTATATTTTATCGCGCGTATAGTACAAATATATACAAAAGTTGCTAACTTCACAGGGCTATATTTTATTCATTTTACAACATTTAGCAACCAATCTTTGCAATTTCACTCATTCTAAGACGCTCTTTCTAGCTGTGGTTTTCGTTCTTCTTGCCTTGAACAAAATTTAGTCTATAGCTGAAACTGACCCATTAAACATCATCTATTTTATAATCTGTTCATAGGATGAGGGTTAAACAAAACAAACACAAACCAATCATATTCGGCAACTGTAAAGAAGTTTTGGCGACGGTTGTGATGTTTTACTTTGCCGCAAATCTCGTTTTCGGAGCGGAAGAGAACGACACTGTATTTTGCAGAAGAGGATGGTCTGAATTCGTGAACGACAGGAAGAAATGGGAAACTGAATGTTTAAATGAAGATAGTGTCAGAGCGTCATTGTGTTGTAAGGCTACAGCTAGTTATCTTGAACAGCGATATGAAGACTATATAAAGTGGTGTCCCATTGTGGGTAATTTATATATATAGAGAGAAGATATTACGCGACGATATATGAATTTTATCTTCGAGTGGTGAAAATAAAATGTTACGAATGAATGCAGCCAATGAGTAAAATATTGTTTTTTTACCACGATAAGTAAAATTCATATCTTCAAGCCACCGTGTAGTGTTTTTATTATATACTGTGCTGAGTGGTTACTGTATATTACTACCTTAAAAAATTAGCAGAAACTCGACGTTTCGAGCGAAGGCCCTTACTGCGAAATGACAACTTGTAAACACAATGCAATTGCTAGACTTGCCACAAGTCGACCATGGGGGAGGGAGCGCGCGACCCGAGCGAGCAGAAGTGAAGTGCGCAATAGAAGGGTCTGGAAAGAAATTTAGAAAGTGTATGCAATTGCCGGCAAATGATCACGTGATCGAAACTTGACTACTATACAGTATAATAATAAGGTATATGAGCTTTGAATATAGAGCTAGTCCAACAAGCAGGGCTGCTTTTTAACCTCACGTTCAGGCGGTTCAGCTGGCTCGTTCAGTAAAAAGCATCGATCCTCTGTTCAACAGCTAACTATTCATTGCGGAATAGACACTTTATTCGCACTTTAAGGACCTGTTTACATGGAGGTAGGGTGACCCTAGCAGAAGGGGTATTTCGTGATCTTTTCTGGGGAATATTTCGCGAAACATCTCTGGTCTTTGTAGCCGATAAAACAGACTGAGTCCTTCTCGTGTTTTAAATAGTACTTAAAATTCTTCAATTTTCTTTCATTAGAAGGCAGATGCGCATGTCAATATTATACAGAGCGAGAAGTTAGCCGCGTTGTGTTCGATAATAAATCAATCCAATTGTCGTGGAGCAAGCCTAACTTCACTTGCCCGCATAAATATCTACTTAATCGTCAAAAGGTTGAACCAAACATAACGTCGCCACGCAATTTCTCCATTGGTCGACATGAAATCAAGTATATCTTTGAACTGTATGGAAGCATGAAAGTAACATGTACCATTGTCCTCAATGTTCGATTATGTCGTAAGTATAATATATGTATTAGTCAGGGCCGGTTATTAAATTGGAATGGGCAGGGGGGGGGACAGTGGGTGAATCTTCAATATTGTACTTCTTCTTGAAACCGCCTCCAAGCGCAATACATTTAATTTCAAGACGCCCCCGAATTCCATATCGACTATTTTAGAACACCTCCTCCCCCCGCCTTTATATTTTGTTAAAATAAGGCCATATAAAATAAATTCCTTGATTCTCATCACCGCCCGACGATATTTTGGTTTCCGCGTTGATATATTTTTGTATTTTGTTATAAAATATAAATTTACCGCCCGACCGAGCATCTTCAGAGATTTAGTTACTTTTATATTTTATATTGGAATTTTTGCGATATAAAATTGTTTTATCGTTAATATTGCAACATGTTAAGGGATGCTTGGAATACTGAAGGAAAAATGGGCTCATAGCCTTATTACAACGATTTGTGTGGACCCTTATGCATGTTCATTAGCGCATGTGCAATTATCCACTTATATAGCGTTCTTCTATATTTTTTAAGGGCAAATATAAAAAGACCTCCCTCTCCAATTTTTTAAATTTTAAACTTTTTTTTATATTTTGACATAAAATATAAAATATAAACCTCCCGCCTCCTGGGAGTTTTTAGAATTTAGCGATGAGAATCAAGGAATTTATTTTATATGGCCTTATAACAGGGCTTTTGTACTAATTTCAAAACATATTAAATTAAATTAGATCAAATGCGTAATATAATGCAGGAACGTCAGTCACATGGCAGTAGCGAAGCTAGCTCAAAGTAATTGGCCATGGGAGCGAAATTCGTAATTCTATGTTACTTTTACATATTTCTGGTATTTTCAACTACTATATTGTATATGTCTTGTTTTTAAAGTTATTTCCCCGAATTTTTGCCCGAATTATGTTTATAAGTTTGCCCAAACTTCTTTTTGACTGGGGAGCAAAAGCCCGGCCAAATTGCCGTAATGATATGGATTAATCTTTTTTAACTAAAATGCAATTCCTACATTTCTGTGTAATAAATCAAAGCAAGTCAAGAATGTCCAAAAAACTGGAAAGAATATGACAATTCATGCTATCTTTTTGTCATATCAACTTCACGAATCCGTAAAATGAGCTGGGAAGACGCCAGAGCGAACTGCTTAAGACATGGAGGTGACTTGGTTTCTATTCTGAATTCCGCGGAAGTTGATTTTATTAACAAGCAAACAAAAGGCATGGGAGATAATTGGTTCTGGATTGGGCTGTTCCGCAACAAGACGACCAGTGATCCAAAGGAAGGCTGGATCTGGAGTGATGGCAATAATTTTACAAATCCTCAGCAGTGGCTGCCGCGTGAACCAAATAACTACCAGAACAATGAAAAATGTGCCCAATTTTACGCAAATAGCAAACGGTGGATTAATTACAACTGCGCTGACTTAATTCCTTCGATATGCAAAACGAAAAAAGGTACTGAATTCATGTAAGCTCTTTTCACACAATATATACCGAAGTTTATATAAAAAATATCTTGACCATCTAACTAAGCAGTTTTCGAACGGTTTTTTGCACCGACAAGTTTTAATTAAGACTGCCACTTGCTCATATTTTAATAACAAATTTTTACTTTGGTAACAGCGAACCGTCATCGTTTGTAAGATTTCTGTTTTGTAGCTTTGTTTAAACATATAGTATTTAAATAATGCGAACATCTACGCCGGACATGGTAAAAACGTGTTAATCACCAACACAGTATGACATTAGTTAACACTTAATATTGGGAAATCTAAGCTAAGTTTATAATCACGTTTCCGGCCTTTTTTCGCGCGGTTTCGGTAAGTCTTCGAATTGTAGGAAATTACAAGGTTCGAAAAGTATTAATGAAATTTCGCACGCGTGTTTGGCGAAATATTAGTGAGCTTAAGCAAGTGACATTTTTGACAACACGAACGGCATGAGTAACGTCAGAAGACTGGGTCAAGGACTGTGATTGGTGAAAAACGTCAACTTTACTTCCGGTCGACGTCCGTGTTGTCAAAAACGTCACTTGCTTAAGCTCACTATTTATAATACCACAAGTCCGTATAGCACGAGGTGCAAATCAGTCTCAGTGGAGGTGCGCACGTGCATCCCCAAAATCCAGCCATGATCTGAATTATAGTATTCCTGATTGATAAATTATTTTATTTCATTACTATCACTGCCATTACCACCATCATCATGATCATCATCATTACCACGATCATCATCACATTCACACCATCACCACCATCACTATCATTATCACTATATCTTCATCATCATCACTATCATTATCACCATCGTCATCATCATTATCTGCACTATCACCATAATCATCATCCCCACCATCATCACCACAATCTTCGTCATCATCACCATCATCTTTGTTATCGTATGTCTGATACGTAGTTTCCAGGCCAAAGAACATTGACCTTGTCCATAATGGCACGATTATGACCAATGGAAACACTCATCCGAAACCTCTAAGCCACATTTACTAATTCCAGATAACTTCAGTTATAGATCACTGTGGTTGTGAGTCTGAATATGAAATTGATTATTGGAAACCTGTATTACATTGGAATGAACTATGTCCCGTATGTACGACACAAAATGGCCTGGAGGTTAAGGATCAACTCATCCCCAACATCAGACCACCAGCAGCGCTTGGTGTTGGAGAACATACCATTAACTATACATTCACATATAACCCGCTGTCATCAGGAGGTTTAAGAGAGACCAAATGTTCTGCGAAAATCCGGGTAAATGCAGGTATGTCTACACCTGACCAACCAAAAAAATCATTTCGCGTACGTACGTACGTACGAATTGTTGAACCCCTTTACCCCTTTGTACGCAAATATATGTATCAATTATACCCCCCCCCCCTCCCTCCCATGCGTACGTAATGATGCGCCCTCATGCGCGAAAATGAATATGTTTTGTGAGTATGTATCAGATGATCAAACTGATGCAAAATGTTACTGATTGTAATACCAAATGACTGAAAAACGGCAAACTTCGCAAGGCTATATTATCCGCATTTTACAACATTTCACAACGAAACTTCGGAATATTACTAATTTTGTGATGCTCTTTCAAGCTGTGATAAAATTTTTGTCCAGACTTGTCTAGATCAAAACTTCACTCAAAAGGGGAAAGGTCTATTAGCAAACTATTTTGAGTATTTTAGTATAATTACGCGCGGAAAAATGCACCACTTTTGAGCCGAAAGTGCCGGGTGCATTTTTTGCCGCGCGTAATACTAAAATACTCAAAATTTGCTAATTTCAAAGAGGGCTTATTTTTCGTATTTTACAACATTTTACAACCAATACTCATTAAAAGGATGCTCTTTACTCACAGTACTCATTAAAAGGATGCTCTTTTGGGCTATAATGATAGCCGGATTTCGTCTTTCTTGTCTAGATAAAAAAGAATCAGTCGATAGCTGGAATTATTCATTAGAATCTGTACACTTATTAAGCTATTTAGAGTTACAATTTATCAGTGAAGTTGCGCACATCATATAGGTCATTTACAAAAGTGAAGAGTAATAAGGTTATAGTGAGTAGTATAGATATAAATTGCAGCTAGTAATTCATTATGTCGTGCGCAGTGGACAAAGTAGCATGATAATGCTTTCGAGTTGTCCAATGCCTTGCATTCCTAATTCCAACCCTAATCCGAACTTTGGGATGAGGTTTTTGTGATATCCAGAATTAGTATAATTACATAGGTGATTATTGAAATTTCTCCACGCTGATTGGTTGCTGTTGAGGTGATTATTACGCGATAATCACCTAAGCGATTTTCAAAATGGCGGCCGAAGCCGTTTTGTCAATTAAATGACGAAGAAAATGTGTATTTTTTTCTAAATAATCACCTATGAAATTATACTAAAACAATTATTCACCTCAGGCTCGGTGATTATCGTGAATAAAAACCTCGACTTCGTCTCGGTTTTTATTCACCGATAATCACCTCGCCTTCGGCGAATAATTGTTAATTATCAAGTTCGAGTGAAGTGTTATTTGTCGAATCGAAGGTGAGATTGATAACATCCACCGAGGTGGACATAGACGTCCAGAGCCCCAGGCAACGGCTATTTCGTTCAATGGTTCACTGTGAGTACACGAGAAAACCTGAGTTACCGACAAAACAACCGACCTCATTTATCCTACATACAATAAAAACCCGCATAAAAGCTAGAATCAGTGGATCAAGCAGCACCAGTCTGAAATTTAGGAAATAGACCGATGGTGTGCGATTAAATGCAATTAAATAAGTACTAGGAAGCCATTGAAACAATGGACTGAACCAAACTCTTCAACTAATACTTAGAATAAGTTTGTATCAACACTCAACAGGGCCGTAACTAGACGCGATAATTGGGTTGGGGGGGGGGGGTGCATATCCATATATTCATGTTCACATACCGTAAAAGCAATCGCTTTCAAAAGAAATCAGTAGGGCAAAACACGAATATATCAATATCCCCCCCCCCTCAATTATCGCGTCTAGTTACAGCCCTGTGTATCAATTTTATAGAATCGGAACAAAAAGCAAATATTTTTGTTGTAGGTTTCATTAAAGTTATGACTTTGCATTAATTGAGGTATTTTATTTTTGTGTTCTATAACCACAACAATTTATAGGCTCATTCTTTTTTCAGTGAGACGAAGCTTTGGGGTAGTGATACCGGTAAGCTGAGCCTTTAATATTGTAAAGAAAGATGTTTTGTTAGTCGGTGTTTACAACTTGGTTTGAAATAACACTGTCACAGACCATATATGGCTTTAAATATACTTGCCATGCATGACTAATGCAAGGACTACATGCCGGAATATATTAAAGTGGCAACCATCATACAAACAGTTGATTAACATTTGTTGAATTTGTACAACATTGCTAACACTTACACCTGTGACAAACATATACAATTGTAAAATACTCAGGTATCTTAGTCAACGTACGTGCCACTAAATTGAAAAGTTCAAATACACAACAATTTTACCAGTGGCGTAACGCAACCGCTGGGGGCCCTCCGTCAATCGGCCACTTTGGGCCCCTTTGCTCCACTAAAAATAGGCTCCAAAAATTTTTCTCGGAACAATTTATTTTTGGCGACCTCCATGAGTATCCATGATTCTCAGTTACATGTTTTGAAACAGTTTTTGTGAGTGGTTAGGTAAAACAAAGTAAGAGCCTCTAGACTGAAATTGTTTTGGGGAATACCCTTTAGCTCCCGCACCCAAAATCGAGTTTGTCTGGCCTTTCTCCAATTCTCCCACCCAACCACACCATTATTCTGTCACCTATATGCAGGTAAAAATCCTTCAACCCCCCCCCCCCCCCACCCCAGTCAAACACCCGTTACCTTCGTAACATCCCTATATGTGCAGTTCTAAATTTTTCTTAAAATAAACCCTGCTGCTCTGTATTGCACCACTCCTGTATAAACCGTAGCTTTATCGAAATCATGGCGTGGCAGCGGTTATGCTTTTTGTCTGTACGGTCTCTATTCTGTGACATGGACGCCACGCGTACATAATTTAACCCATAGAGATTATTTATAATCTCTATGATTTAACCGTTAATTATGGCGTCAGCAGTTCGTGCTTGAAATCACAGAATAGATACAGAACCAGAAGTGTCACTTAGACGATATTTTGTCCGATATTTTGTCCGATGTGAAAATACGCCATCATATGACGCCATCCTGGAGTGCACACGGAAGGTTTTTATAGGAAAACATAGGTACAAAGTGCCGGGTGCACTCCAGGATGGCGTCATAGCACGTGAAAAAATTTCGGACGTTTTCCTTCAGCCAAAACACATACGAGTGTCCCTTCTGGTCCGGTATCTATTCTGTGTTGAAATCAAGGACGACAGTCTGTCAGTCTATGCAGTTTTACGTTCGTGATTTCGAATATAGACGGCTGCCGCTATTTATAACGCCTCAATGGACCTATTCCCTTATGAACAAAATTTTGATCGAGACAAGTCTAGACAAAAATTTCATCGCAGCTTGAAAGGGCATCACAAAATTAGTAATATTCCAAAGTTTCGTTGCGAAATGTTGTAAAATGCGGATAATATAGCCCTGCGATGTTTGCCGTTTTTCAGTCATTTTGTATTACGCAGGGGAAATTGATACCTTTTTTCAGAAAGCGGTATCAATTTCCCGTGCGTAATTGCTAATTTTGTGATGCTCTTTCTAGCTGTGATGAAATTTTTGTCTAGACTTGTCTCGATCAAAATTTTGTTGATTAGGGAATAGGTCCATTTTAATACTTCGCGCCGGTGTTCCTGAATCGAAAATTCGCTTCCTTAAGCTCTTTAATGCGAGACAACTTACATGCGTTATGATACCAGCCGACTTGTAGCAAGTCTGGTTTACAGAAAAAATGTAAGAAATGAATGCAATCACGATCCAACTTTTTGACGCTTCAATCTAGTATCT